ATAATTCTAAACCCGTTCGAGGATGAATGTTTGTTTTAAGAGGGGGAGGATGTAACGACCCAGCCGATCGTTTTGAGAGATTTAGCCGCGAACCCCTAATTTCTGCTTCTCTATTTAATTCGGTGGTTACGTGTGTAGACATGTAATTTTTTACCCTCCTCGAAAGTTTTTACCTTTTAGTGCTTAGATGTTGGTTTTAGATATAATATTGTTATTTTGATTATTTTTAAATTTTTACTTTATTTTATCTTAAAAATAAAAATTACATGAATATTTTCTTTTATTTTAGCTAATTAATATTTAGTCTAGTAATTTTTAGTTTATCTTACTTTGGATAAAATTGAAAATCACAGAATAATAGCTAATGTAGTTGTTTCATCCTTTTATTTTATGTATTCAGTTACGGATTAGTATTTTGGATTATACAAAAAAAACAAAAGTCAAAAAGAAAAGAAGAGCAATTCAAAGATGGCCATAGTGGTGAAGGTTCCTTTATGTCTAATTTAACTAATTCACATGCTTACAATCAATTCACGTGATCACCCAATTCTCCCATTTTAATTTTTGTCCTTATTTGTAGTACATGCTCAAAATTAATTGACAAGAGCACAAACACACGATATTTTTTATTAGTGGGGGGACATACTCATTATATTTTNTAATTGTTGAATAACGTTGAGTATCATTCGAGTGCTCCGGTCGGCTCTTTTCTGTTCAAGGTCCAGTCAGAGGCGTGAATTGATTTTCACTTTTGTGCAAGTTTGCTGTCAACTTTTGTTTTTCGGTGTCGCACTTAGAGGCATTCGTAAATCAAATTCTGAAAGAAATTTTTGTTTCAACAAAGATACGAGGCTTTCGAAGGTCAATTCACGAAGCAAATGTATAGTGGAGCAAAGAATTATACGGTTCAAGGTAAGTGACTTGTCTAACCTTGTGGGGGGGAAGTTCCCCTAGGATTGGTATTGTCATGAAAATTTTGATGTGTTGAAAGTCGTGTATGCGAGGTGACGGGTGTATACACGGGTTAAATATAGAAAAACTTTAGTTTTAAGTTGTGTAGATCTCTGTTACATATTAATTAAATTATTTTATCTGGTAATATTCAGCATCATTGGTCTATTTATATATTTTAAAATTTGTCTTACATGTTTCCTGCTAATTGTTTTACTTGTTTAGTTGAAACTTTATTTACTTTATTCTGTGCTCATTATTTGAAAGTTGAATTTCCTAATTGAATTATTATTAATATGAAGTATTTGATATTTAAATTTGGTATTTGAAGTAAAGTGTTTTATTGTGAAATATTGCTTTGTTGAGTTATCCACTCCCGAATATTTTGTTGAGATTTGTATTCATGGTGATTGAGCCTTGAGCTCCTTGTTGTGAAAATTTATGTTGTTGTTGATTTATTTTGGCAAGTTGAGATATTTGGGCACTTGAGGTGCAAATTATAATACATTGTGATATTGATACGCATGCGGTGGTATAAGGTCTGGGTGTTGAAACGCATGCGGTGAGAGAAGGGTGGCTTGATACGCGTGGCTAGTAGGGGAACTACTAGAAGTCATGCAGTGTGATAAGGGTAGCTAAAATGCGGGATGCCATTTCGGAAAAAATAATTTCTTTAAAATTTAATGTGAACGCTCTCGCGGTGATATAAGAAAATGAAATATTATGAATTTTTTTATGATTTGGGACTCCGAGGCGATACCTCAGGAGTGCCCTTGTTGATATTTCTTCGTGGCTGCATTTGCCTTTGGTTATTTTGTATTTTTTCTTAAAGTTGTAAATTTCTGTTTTTCTTCCGCGAGATATTATTTTCTCTTATTCTGTGTAGTTAAATTGTGACATATTACTTACTTGATTCATTCCCATTATTATTTTTATTATTATATTGTTAAACTTTTCACCATGTCTTTTATTATTTCCAGTAGGGCCTGACCTAACCTTGTCACTACTCTACCGAGGTTAGGCTTGGCACTTACTGGGTACCGCTGTGGTGTACTCATACTATGCTTCTGCACATCTTTTTGTGCAGATCTACGTACTTGCTATCAGACCGGGCATCAGTGAACTTGCCGTACGCGGAGACTTCAAGGTATATCTGTCAGCGTCCCCAGACCTCGGAGTCCCCTTCTATCATTATTATGTTGCTTTCCATATTCTCTTTAGAATCTGATGTATAGAGACCCTTAGAATAAATTCTTAGAAACTTGTGACTTATTTAGCGGGTTTGAAGAGTTATAATTATTTGAATTGCAGTTTTATTTATTTCAGATTTCTATTATGTTATTCCGCATTGATAGGCTTACCTAATCTTAGAGACTAGGTGCCATCACGATATCCTACGGAGGAAATTTGGGGTCGTGACAATAATTAGAAAAAAAAAACTAAATGCAAGGAAGAGAAAATTTTAGAGTTCAAAGAGATAAATGCAGATGAAAATTTTTAAAAAAGAAACAAGGTTAGACAAAAAGTGCAACCCGAGTCCATTACAAGAAGGGGCTCATTGGGCGATGAAGACTAATTTCATCAAATATAAAATTCACGCTTTACAAGATTTACTAAGTAGATAAAGGAAATAAAAGAATTTTGAATACTGAAATAAATAAATAAAATCTTCTTCAATTTTAGATCATAACTTAGAAATATTAAGATGAAGACGAAGAGTAAGAGGCTCGATTTAAATTATATAAAGATGAACTGTATATACTAGCAACTTTCTGAACGTTGATTTATTTTTCAGGTCAATGACTCTTGTGTACATCTCACACAAAACTTACATTGATGATCGAATCATAACTGAAGCTTAAACATTCTACTCAACAGTTACAACATCTTACACATTCTTCATGAATTTGTTCAAGGTTTCTACACTTATTTGAGATTCTTGGTTATAGACTACTCCAGTATTACCTTGAAAACATATAGTTGAAACGTATTGTGTTTTTGAAAATTCAAGAGGAATAAATGCGTGAGGATTGCAAACAGGCTACTTAATAATATTTTTGGAAGTTCAAAATAAATTTTAAGTTAGACTTTTATGACAATTAAAATGACGTCGTAACATTTTATTGTCTTAACAATGCAATTGGGCCCGGGCATAGCTCAAGCTAAGCATACTAGATTGCAAACAGGCTACTTAACAATATTTTTGGAAGTTCAAAATAAATTTTAAGTTAGACTTTTATGACAATTAAAATGACGTCGTAACATTTTATTGTCTTAACAATGCAATTGGGCCCGGGCATAGCTCAAGCTAAGCATACTAGTTTGTATATAGAAGGGAAAATTAGAACTCACCCCCCTCCCCCCGAGGTAATCTCTGAATTTTCAAGTATATATTCAGACTGGTTATTATTCAATGCTTATCCTATTTTTACTGATTACCAATTATTAATGTTTACCGAATTATTAATTGATACTTGTAAAACATTTACCTGCAATTGGCCAATAAGTTATTTGATTGGATAAATATTTTGTATATTTAAACTCTTGTAACAATACTTTACGGGTAGCAACAAGAACAACCCCTCTTATTTTCGTGCATGGAAATATCCTCTCAAGGTCAAAAATAACCTTAGGACTAACAACCTAAGCCTAAAATTTTATTCGTATTCAATATTTGTATCATACTAATAAATACAATATGTATTTTTAAATAAACTTATACCTTAATTAATTAATATGTATTCTCATTTTGATTTGTTATTATTAAGGTTAGATTATTAATTTGCTACAAATACCAAGTGCATATACGTTTTTCTTATGTGCACCTCGCTGACCATAGCAACGACATGCTCAAAGCTTCCTTAATTACACACTATTTCTTAGAACCATGTTGTATAACTTTTGTGTAATTAAATTAACTGAAAAAGTCAGCAATATGTTTTATCCTGCATCGGAATATTTTTACCCAGTTTAGCTAAGAAAAAGATTTACTCGCACCCAGTATTGCATTAAGCAAAGGAATGCAAATTTTAAACATGTGAATCATAGCTCTTTCTATCAGCAAATTTATAATTTTTTCAAGAAGTTTTAAGTTTATACATGTATTTCTAACCATGCTACCACATTAAGGATCTCTCACTTTGAGCATATTAATTAAAAATTAATGTCACTTCCTCCCCAGTGTTAGCATTTTCAGTTTAATATTTTTCCATCATTACTTTTTAACTCTTGTTAAGCTTTTAAATCAATATAAGATACTTAATTGGAAAGTATGGAATGATTTGTGAGTTAATATAGGGATCTTTATACAAATAGCTGGCCTGATTTACTGTGTATTTTTCCTAGCCGATATACATAAATTATATACTATTATATATAATCTTACAAATATAATACATAAATTATACATATATTCACTCGCCGGCTATTTTAATTTAAGCAATTAGGTGTATGACTATTTAAATTAATTCTTCTTAATAATATATGAGGGCAGATCCACTACCTTAATATTGGGTTGGCTCAAAACCATCAAAAACTGCAAAAGCCTATAATTTTGTTGGAGTTACTCCATTTAGTTATTCTTTGGAAAAATGGTAGAAATGACACCAGGTAACCACTCTAAATGATGTTTGAATTTTCTTGAAGATCAAATTTTTAGTTTAAAATTTTATAACAAAATAAATACTGTCTAATTTCTAAAAAAAAAAAAAAAAAAAAAAAGG